AAGAGAAACGTGGTTCCCCCGTGATAGCCATGGGGTAATTATATCCCTCACTGACGAAGATCCATCTGATTTGTGAGCTATCGGACTTAATCCTCCATTTCAATCAGCTGTGTGGTCAATTCTGGGTAACCCCGGTTCGGTACCATGACAGTGTTGAATGTTTGTCAGGACAAGCGACTCATGTAGGGCACACGATGACATGGCATCTGTGCCCCTCCCCGACACGGTGTACTCTTGGTCGCTGCCTGCAGCGTGAAGCAACTACCGCACGCCCGACTACCAATGATGGGCCCGACGTGGGCAACTGCCGAGGCAGTCTAGCCTTACTTCAGATGGGCCTCAACGCTGCTATCGGTCCGAGTTTTTCTTCCACTGCCGATTCTTTAGCCTCGGAGCATCCTGCATGTATGCTGGCATCCTTGAAGGCAGCCTTGGGAAGTAGTGCGTCCACGCGGTTCATAATACATCGGTACAGCCGCCCCGGAATAGGCCCGAAACTTCGCGCAATCCCTGTAGGATGGAGTAGTATCCGTCTCCCGTTGCAAAATCGCCATTGCGTAGGTTCTCTCGTCAAGTACCATGTGCCTCAAGGTAGCCCGTCTCGACTCTCTCGCTAGCGCAGGAAATCATTCACTACTAAAGCCTTGTAATAGCTCGAGGGCAAGAACAAAAATTCTACTAGAAAAGGACGTCTACTATCAGGGCGCAGGTATAGGCTATACTTGCGTCTGGTTCCAGGCATGGGAGCCTGTCCCAGCTCTACAGCTGCGACCCGATTGAATCGATGCGACCAGCTAACTTTGTCTGGCCGAGCTGCCACCGGGTGTGCGCACTTGAAATGGATGAACAGGGATGTGGAACACCATCTAAGTTCCTTTGGAGCCAACCCGTGATTGATCGGCAGGGAAGAAGCAGGAGAAGCTTAGCATCGTTTCAACATATACACGACACTCTGTATTTCCACACTCGCCCTCTGCCGATCAACCATGAAGCGAGCCATTCCCCTCAAAGAACGTCTAGCACTTAGACAGGAGCTGCTCGACTCGAATAACAAATTCGTGATTGATCTCCCTAAGGTCGAGCTTTATATACATATTAAGGGCACACTGATATCTAATCTACGATAGAAGCTTACGTAACGAAACGGTTAGATCCTAAAGCTTAATCGCATCGGGAAAATTTACCCTAGCCTCGAGTAGCTAAAGGCGTCCTTACGAGCTGCGGTTTATAATAGATGAGATAAGCTAAAGCGCCGTATGGTCTAGACCGGCGCTCTGAAGCCGGGCTGGAATTGGTGTGAGTACCAGCACTAAACTTTCCTCTCCTATTTCTTGGATATGGTCTAGAACCTAAGAATTATCTATCTACTTGGCTATAACGATAGGTGGGACGCGTTGCTAGAAGCATTGCTGAAGATACTAGAACGCGGGGCTACTCGCCGTTTCGACTGTACTTGTAGTAATAATAGATACCTGCAAGTGTTTCCTCATGGAGCCTACCCTACATCGTGCTGAGTCACACAGAATGCTTGTTTCAAAGCTACCAGAACGATATCACAGTCTATGAATTATGCGAGGCGAATACGTCCAGCTGGGTGCAAGTGAAACAAGCATTGGCGACGTTGGGCACGTACATTGTTCTTTGCAATGCTAGTCAACTCGCGCTACAATAACCAATGTAGCTTGGGCCTTCCAGCACCTGACGCCAAAGAGCGAACACCTTAGTTGCAAATTCTGCTTCTTGTAGTTCAGTCTAGAAAACCTCTTATGAATGTGACGCGATTCATCGACGCACCGGATTCAGCATCATCCTCCTGCACCACACTGTCCATGTCTTCGCTCGCAATCGAAGACTGCCTGGGCACCGCTTCAGCCACGTCACTTTCTTACTCTGCGTTTCCGTCTCCAGCGGTCTGGGACTGCTGAGGTTTCCGGTCGCAGTAATCAGCGGGGATATGAGGTACAAACACGTCCAATCGGTCCTTGCCACCGTAACTAACCTTCTCATCACCCGTGCAGGGCGAGTTACATTTAGCAGTCGCGTTGTTGGTCCTCACGCCGGCGATATAGGTGCTGCACTAGCATTCGTTCCCAGCCTTAACGCCCGCGAAGATAAAGGCCTCTTAGTACGATTGGTAGCGCCAGGGTTTACAGTCGTGGCCGACAGAGGGGTTCTACTTAGTGAACTCCCCCGGGGTGATATTCTAGTAGTCTCGGACTTATTTATAAGACTCGCCTTCTGCGTGATTATACTAAGTGATGCAGGGTAAGGCAGTCTCAGGGTCCTATTGGGTGGTACCCACGAACCACTGGGCGAGCGGCAACGAGGAACGCTAGGAACTTGGCAAGCGCTGTTATATGCATCGAGTTCATCCTGATTGTCGCTGTCTGGGTTCTTAAAGTTGCTTTGTAGGTCATTACATTGGAGAGTAGCGCCAGACCAGTCCGAATATCCACCAAGGCCAAGGGCAAGAGTGGTCTTGTGACGTTCGGGTCTAGACTAGCTACCTGGTAGATAGAATAGAAGTCTGTTCATGAACTGAGTACACTAGGATGTCATTGACTTAAGCGGTCGGGTCACAGTCTATGTGCGAGATAGTAGATCTTACGTAGATAACTATATTGATAGCTGAGGAGAGCTGGTAGAGACTGACTATGGTGAAGCTAGGCTTCCTATATACTAAGGTGATCACGAAGTGATCACGGTTGACCAAGAGTGATCGATGGTGATCAGATGCAATTGATCACCGTAGTCGAGTTAGTGAAAATGGTGATCGGTATGATTAGTGCGTGATTGGTGAGAATAGTGGGACATGCAGAAGGGTCACGTGCGAGGCGCATGGCGGCGCATGCGGTCGCATGTTGGGTCGTAACAGGTCTATTAGCCAGACACTGAGTTATGTGACAATTGAGGGCACATGACTATATAGTAGTCGGGCAAGCACTCTTGTTTAGCACTGAAATTCCGAGGCTAAAAGTACGGCGGTACAACCGAAAAGATTAAGTGGGACCTTAGCATGCATAATTTAGACTAAGTCTATCCTAACCAACTGCCTGACGGGCACCTATAGCGGTGTTGTGGGCTAGACCCTGTTGGAACGACTTGGTAGCTCAGATTGAGTCTATCTAACGATAAGGTAGGAAAAGAGAAAGAAGAGGGAATTTACGGTCCCCCTTTCCTATGAAGACCCTACGAGGTCTATGCGTCCTCGCGGGCACGCGTCACGTGCCTAGATGAACCGGGCTGGGTCTTGTACCTAGCCGTTAGCAACTAGTAGAACCGTAACAAACATAGGCCCCCGACTAGTCTTAGTGAGATAGTGCTAAACGCGACGTACTATTTAGAAGATATAGACAGCTTCTACGAGGCTATCTTCGACACGTATGGTATCGAGAAGGACTGGCTTAAATTCGGTCGTCGTTAGGTAAGGGCTAATAATAGGTATTAGTATACGGGTGAGGAAGCGGCCGACTGCGCGGAAAAGTACACCGACTGGTTTCATAAATATCTATACGCCCTAGAAGATAAAAATAATTATTTTTAACCCTAAGGACCTGATCGGCGACGGATACGACAAGTCGAACGACTTTTTAAACCGGATAACGATCTAGTAGAATAATACAGACTATAACAGCCGCCGTAGGAAGTCTTGGTCTCAGCTCCGTCCGCGTAATATTATCACTAGTCGGAGTTACCGGCGAGACGGGTCTAATGATATACGGAATCGTTAAAGACCCTGCGAGCGGATTTATAGCGGTGTTCGTAACGCTAGCAAGTGCTGGGCTAGGTCGATCCGGTTTCAGGTCCGCGGCGGACAAGAGGCGAGGTATAACCGTAAATACGATCAAAGGACTGGGTCCCTTGAAAGGTAAGTTATCTAGAATTGACACGATCCGTGGTAGCAAGTGCTTATTATAATAAGGTAACATAGAGCCTAGAGACCGGAGCAGTCTTCCTGGATGTTGGTGTTACACTCCATAAGCTGGGCCATGATGATGCCGTGCTGAGAGCTGATAGAGTCGCAGTTATCGCCTCTGATAGCCAAATTAAAGGCATCATAGTCGGGGGTGGTGCCATCGAGTGTGGGAGAGAGGATCGGGAGTTCGGGACACCGGTTGAAGTGGGCGCCGTGGAAGTTTTTGTAGAGGTCGTAATATCACCGCTGCGATTAATATACACACCGTAAGAGTCGTCAGGTGGGATGTCACTGCCGTCCTCTCTCACGGAAGGGTTCTAGAAAGTGGTCAACGTTAGGTACTGGTACAAGTGTTGTAAGATAACGTACCTATCTTAAAAAACTGATCCTATATGGGACCCCAGTAGTCCTCCACATACTTGCAGTCGTTGCCAGCTTCGTTGATGACGTGGTACCTGCACTAGTCTGTGGCGCCCTCGGGAACAGGTGCATCTGGCTCAGGACCACAAAGACTCTTGATAGCTGGGAGTTAATTGGGCAAAAGCAGCTGCTGCGAGGAGCGGAGAACAAGACGTATTTCAATGAAAACCAAGAGAACCTCTCAAGACCACTACCCCGCCTAGCGTGCTACATTTGATTGGAGGCTAGACCGGCTGTTGCGAGCTACTTGACGTCGGGATGAGCTGTCCTAACTCCTCCGAGATTCAAATCAACCCTCGCGGCCTAGCCCTACGCCTTCCGTATTCCATGGCCTTTGTTTCAATGTAGTTGCAATCTCGGGTGACTTGAATTTGAGTTTTGTGGGCACTGACATGTCCTATGTACGTCTAGTCTGGTTGAAGTATGCCACAAAATCAGGAAGAAAATTGAATTGCGCCAGCACACGTGCTCATTTACAGGTGTACCGCATATTGACGCGTTTCATAGGGTTATCGCAAACACGTGCCAGAGGGAATCAGTATTGTGATTTGAAGGCAAGTCAAGCTCATGTCGGTTGGCTTGGTGAATAGTGTATATGGAAAGTCATGGCAAATGAAGCTATGAAGAGAAACATGATACTCTAGACCTACTTAGTCCAAACCCCTTAGAGAGCGAGAGCAGCAACAGCTGCGACGAGGGCGCCAAGGCCGAGTCCGTGGACGGCAGCAGCGTCCGTGGGAACAGCGGTGGGCTCGGCGCCGCCGCCGTCACCGTTACCACCAGTGGCTGTGGGCATACCGCTGCTGGTTGGGGTGGTGGTGCTGTTGCCGCCATGGCCGCTGTATAGTGCGCAGTTGGCGTCCTCGGCCAGAGGGCAAGTCTCCTCATCGATGCAGATAGACTGCAACTGAGGGCCCTGGGCCTTGACAGCAGTAGCGGGAGGGGCGCAGCGGACGTTGAAGAGGGAATTGAGAGCCGTTCCAACAGTAGTAACGTCCTCTTCGGCAACACCGAAGGAGGCTGCGGCCATGCCAACCTGCTGGATGAAGTAGGTGTTCTCAGCGAGGTTGAGGTTCATGAACTTATGAACCTCGTACATAGATGGGTCGGCCGTATAGGCGTCGAAGCCGGACATGCCCTGCATAGTGCAGCCGAGCAGAGAGCCGAAGAACTGGTAGAGATGGGTGAGGAGGAAGCTACACGGGAGATGTTAGCCATCTGTCTGCAGATTTGAGGATCGCGAGAGCTCACTATTGGTTGGACTCTTCGTCGTCGGAGGGCATATTCTTTTTGAGGGGCTCGGCGGCACCACCGTCAAGAAAGTTGACCTTGACACCCTCGCTGCCGCCCCTGTTGGTGGTGGCAAGCTCACCGCTGAAGTAGGGCAACAGGTTGACTTCCTCGCCGTCGACCGCGCCAGGGGCCAGGATACCAGGAACCTTGATGCCAACGTTGGGCTCGGTGTCTTGCGAGTTTCTTAGTACATGGTGAAGCTTTCAGTAGCAAAAGACCGCCAGCTTACAGTTGCCAATGACCACAGTGTTGACGACAAGAGTCAGAAGAGTAGCCTGATTCTCGGCGGTATTCTCCTTGAGGAGAGCAGTGGTGTAGTAGTCGCAGATGGACTCATCAGAGGGACGCTGAGCGTTGACAGCCGTGGCCGCAGCAGCGGCGAGAACAACCTTGTTGTAGAGCATCTTGGATGGGTTGAACCGGACGGGTTGGATTTATCGGCTTGATATGAGGACTGTGAGAAGCGAAAAGCGCGAAGACTGGAGGCAGAAACAAGAGAAGAAGAGTACTGGACCAAAGGGGAGGGATGTGGCTCACTCTCATTTGGAACCGCCAGATGTCTGCTCGCCCTTGGGTCCCTTCTTTCGTCGTTTGATTGGCCTCGACACCTTTAGAGCGAGTCTAAACCGGATGACGAGGTGCCGGCAGAAATGCTCCACGGATGCAGCCAGGCCAACGTAATGTTACTTTGTGAGGGCGCCAAGACGCGGCGGGAGTCGCGGGACGCTGGTGTGTGGGGAGGAAGGGAAGGGAGGAGATTGGGTTGATCCGTCTGGGTGTTAATGTCAGATCTTTGCGGCTGTCACAGTAGTAGCGAGAGACATCAGTTGTTGAGCATATGTCTCATGACGACGAGCAGTATGTTCACGACTGGCACGCCATCATCACCTCAGAGATTCGTTTCGAAAGCGTGGATAATCGCCAAGATGGGGCCAGTTGCACGTTTGATGCCTTTCCAGTGCTGCCTGAAGCCTTGCGAGGCGCTCCAAAGAGCGGCCACATATCTTGTTCGGATTGGGTGATGGTCGAGATCCAGGTGGGCCAAGATCGAAACAGACAAGCCGGAAATGGAAGTGGAAAGTTTCCCCACAAGGCGAGACTTCGCATCTCATGCACACGGCCAATCAGGAGAAGCGTTTTAGCAATAGTCATGCGGGGAGTGACGGCATATATGATAGCTAATCCATTCCCGGCGATCGTCGCTCGCCGGATGTGAGCGTATCCGGCGGCATCCTTGGCTAGTGCTACTCGTGGTGCACCTCACCTCTCCTTATAGTCAGGTGCACTACTCGTGCAATCGTGCTAGACCTACCGTACATGTACCATCAGGCGTCACCGCTTTTCCTCGTAAGAACGCTTTGCTTTCAAAGTTTTCTTCCCACTTCCACCATTTGATAATCGTGACTGGGGCAAGAATGGGGTGCGCATGGTCTAAAAGAATACGCGGCAGTATCTTGAATCAGACATCCACAGCTCAGTGCTCTTCGGGGACATGTCAAGCAGCAATAAACGGGGCCACAGAGGGGCCTGTATGCCTCACGCTGTAGAAGAACTCATCCACCGTGTTGACGTTCTCATGACCAGCGATGATCAGACAACTAAGCAAATAATATGGGGCGGGGGACAATTGAGGTCTCCAGACCTCTCTGGACTAGCGCTCCGCGCAGGCACCCTTTGGCACTCGTCATTCTAGCACATTTTGCTGTTTTGATGAGTTTGTATAAGTAATACGGGTGGGATATATCCCGGGGATTCTTTCAGATAGACAAGTGGGAAGACTACAATGGCCGCAGCATATTGCAGCTCTACAAGTCTAGGGTAGGGATCCTACCGTTACAGGAACGTAATCCACATACGAGCGGCGCACCCAAGCAAGCGGCGCACCTTCCCCGTTATCTACATATAAAAAGGTCGATTAAGAATAATATAATTAACTAAGTTACTAATTAAATAAAGGTATCGATAGAGTAAGACTTTAAATATCTTCCGGATAGTTTCGTATATTACAACCTATTTTAGTATATTTATTATAATATATAGGCTTCGGACTGTTTAATAGCTAAAAGCGCCTCTTTATATACTTTTCTTCCTAAATTTATTTATTAACCTTCTTCTAATTAATAAAGTCTTTCCTATCTTATATAATAAGGGTACCTCTATACTAAAGTGTAACAATAGTAGGATAGATTAGGTAGGGAGAGAAGGTATAGGTAGTATATTCATAAAACTCAAACTTACTTCTCCCTCTATAGGTAGAAGTAAGTATATTATACCTAAAGCGCTCGGAAGATCCGGAGGTTAGGTATAATACTAATAAATCGGGTACGTATTATTAATACTAATATAGCGGTACGCTATAGTATCCGAGGCCTCTGTGATTCCTTATGACTATACCGCTAACTTCCTTCGGCCACGGTGTTATAATTATCCCCTCTCCTCTAAGGCGTCGTCCTCGACGCTTAGACTCGCTTATAATAAATCTATCGTGCGGCGGGGCGATTTAATAAGCTATAAGGTTACGGGCAACCAACCACCCCGCCTCCTGATTTTCGAAAAGTCTTATAATAAGGCAGGATTCGGGGGTAAATCGATATTATCGCGGGCACGATTCACTCTCGCTTCTCCCTTAACTCCTATATCCTTAACGGTATCTTAGATACTCGAGAGCTTTCGTTAGATTTTAACCTCTTACTTCTTTATAACCTTATTTACTATAGCGCCTCCTAAGACTCCTATTAAAGGCCTTATATAATCTCGGGCCTCTCCTTCTACTCGTTCTTACCGTAGTATTAGTAGTTCGGTATCTCGTTATAGTTAATTCGAGTCTCGGTCTATAAAAGCTCCTTAGGTAGGACGTTATATAGCTAGGGCTAGATTAGCTACCGACGCGACTACTCGTCGCCTTTTTAATTATCGGGGCGCGCTATCGATTTAGGTGCGCGACCCTTCCGCTAATATATTAATAGAGGATATACTACCACCACCTACTAGTTTAGAGATAAATAAGACGTAACCCCTTATTATACCTTAAGTAAGGATTTTCCTTACTAGCCCTCTTATTCCTATAGATCCTAAAGGTCGTATTCGCGCCTTATCCGTGTCCTAGGATACTTACGATAACGATACCCTACCTGCGTAGCCTCTTTACGATAGTATCGCTATATAATTTCCTCGCCCTCTTATACTCGCTAGGGTAATCGCTCGGCGACGTAAATCCCTATCTCGCGATAGCGAGTTTTCTATAGAGCAAGATCTTCGTTATATAGGATAGGGTAAAGCTTAGCCTACTACCTAGCGGCTTTTCGCGGGTGCTCGGACTATTACGCTATCGTCTCCCTAGGTTAACGCTAGCCCTACTACTCCTCTAGCTTTAGATAGGGATAAAGGAATAATAAATAAAGGCCCTAGGGGTGATAAGCTTAGTTAGCTGTTTTCGAGCCTCTATAACAGCGAGTTCGCCCTATCTTCTAAGCCGAGCGAGTCTAAAGCGCAGCCTCCTACTAACGACTAGTTCCTATTATAGCGGCCTGGTTTTAATAATTAGCTAGAATATAAGGCGTCTATAGATAAGTAGTTTAATAATAATAATTATAATAGCGATAAGGAACCTTACCTATAGTATATACCTTACTGTCACAGCTGGTCAAGAGCGGGGACCCACCCTGCACCTAGTAGTTACGTGAACTCGCGCCTGCCTTTGTATTTGATCGCGATCCCGACCGTCTTCTATTATAGCTCTTCGAGCTATGTCTTATACATAGAGCCTGCCCTACCTAAGGAGTGCCTATCCGTAGCAATAGACTAGATCAGCCTAACCGAGTGTTCCCCGTCCTACCTACCGACCGACCCCCCCTAATATTACGTAACTCCTACCTAAAGGACGCTAAACACGATAACCTCCCGCCCGACGCCTCTAGAGTTACCTTAGGATACGCGCGCCTTCGTAGATACTATAGCTAATAACCCTTCTAAATAGTTTCATTTCTATTAATAGGCATACGCCTATATAGAATCCTAAGATACCTAGATTACGAACCTCACCGATTATATAGCTATACTAGACGAGAAAACAGCCACCCTCGAAACTAAGATTATCGAGGAGAGCGCGGCTAACCGGAACTTTCTTACTTAAATAAAGGATAAGGATATATAGATTATCGAGGTAACTATAACCGCCCGACTCGCCTAGTAAGCTAGCTTACCGACCGTATAAGTAATTACTCTAGAGGCTTTAGGAACCCCCCTTGCTAAAGAGGTTATAGCTCCTTACTTAGGAACGACTCCGCCGCTTACTACCGGATTTACTACCTCCTCCCGACTATCTAAGAAGCTTCCCGACCTTAATAAGTTTAAAGGATCCCGCCCCGATCTCCGCTGTTTCTTATACTAAATCTACGCGAAAATAATAGCTAACGCCGACCGATTCCCTACTACTACGAGCCGGTTAACGTACGTAGCTAGTAGGCTTACCGGGAAAGTATACGCCTTAATACTCCCCCGCACTATCTTTAGAATCCTATAGTTTAGCGACTACCCCGAACTCCTAACTTATCTCGAAAACGCGTTCGGCGACCCTAACCGCGTCTAGAACGCTTAGAACCGCCTATACTAGCTCCGCTAAAGGTACTAAGACTTTAGTACGTATTTCTCGGAGTTCTAACGCCTCGCCTTAGAGGGAGAAATAGCTAATAGTAACCTAACGCCACTACTATTCTAAGGAATATCCCGTGAATTATAGGATATATTACTTTATAACCCGCCCCCTAGCCGGGAGTTCTACTAATACGCTAACTACCTATAGACTCTAGATAACCGATACCGCTAATATTAATAATAAATCTAGCGTAGCTAACCCCCGAGACCGGCTTTATACTAAAACTAGAGATAAACCTCCCCGCGTAAGGGACGTAGTCCTCCGAACCGCAGCCTTTCACGCCGCACGGTACCCGCCGCTATAACCGCTAACGACCCTATAGACCTAAGTAACTAACGCCGACTATAGGGCCCGAACCAGAGGGAAAATAACCTCTGCTTCCGCTATAGCTCCGATAGTCACTATATTCGAGATTACCGGAAGCTAGATACTAGACGCACTTAAGCCCGATTTACCGCTTTAAATAGCGAAGACCTATCCCTTACTAGATCCCCTAACTCTCCCGCGCCGGATAGTTGGAGGTTAATACCCTCCCTAGACCGCACGGAAAATAGAGTAAGCCTGCCCTAAGTCACCGGTAGGTGCTAGTAGAACGTATAACTACTATCCTTAAGAAAACCACTTAAAGAACGCTTTAAATCTCCTCGGCCGCTATATATAGCGTACTAATTAAGGAGGAATATAACTAACGATCGAACCTAATAATTCTGCTTATTAAATTACTTTTACCCGATAATATTACTCTACCCG